AGTGCATGATGTTTTCAAAACCTTCGGGTCATCTGTAAGCCCTTCAGTGCATGAAGTTTTCAAAAACCTTCGGGTCATCTGTAAGCCCTTCAGTGCATGATGTTTTCAACATTTCCATCCTACTCAAAAGAAGCCAAATGAAAAATTATTTTCTTTTTCGTCTTTGCTATATTCTTGTTAACACAAGAATGAGCAAAGAGGGGTAGCTGTAGACACTAATTTTTCAGTTTTCTTTTATTATTATTATTATTTATTTTATCATTATTATTATTATTATACATTATTATTATTATTATTATTATTATTATTATTAAATAATTATAAGGCCCAAATACTCGGTGGCCCGTTTACAACCCAAGACCCAACAGTGATCGAAACATGGTGGTCCAGATTCAGAAGCCCAATACTAACCCTAAAACCATATTAGGGTTTTCATCAGCTCTCAGCCGCCATTACTTGTTGCCGTTGGATCTAGTCTTGATCCAACGACCCAGATGGTCCCAACAAGGAAACCCTAGGGTATCATAACCCTAGGGCCACGCGGTCGCCGCCGTTGCTTCCAGAGTTCCAGCTGCCTCTGCCGACACCTTCACTTCCAGATGACCCAATCCGCTGCAACCATGACGTCGTCGCCTCGATGACACCTCCAGAAGAGCCAGTTTCTCCCCCCACGTTGCAGCTACAAGGTGAGTCACCACTATAGTATGGTGACTCACCGAGAAAGTCCTCTGTGACCGGTCCGAAGATAGCTTGGTGGTGGCCTATAAATATGGCCACCGAACCTGCAAAAGAAGATCATCGACAACAACCAACACAAAAAAAAAACAGAGAGTAGAACCAGTAACCATAGAGCAGACGAAGAACGGGAGAAGAAAAAAGAGAGACAAAAATAGCAAGCAACGAAAAGAAAAGAAGGGAATACTTACCATCATCGGACCTTCGAAACGTCGCCGGAGACCTTCGGATTTCAAAGGTAAAAATCTAGATTTACTCCGATCATGAGTTTTTTAGGGGAAACCAAGGCCATATTCGGTATTGTGGTAGTTGGGGCTTCATTTTGGTGTAAGTTATTATTTTCAACCACCGACGACGGTAGCCGGCGGTGGTCGACTATCATCGGTTTCCCTCCGGTGAGGGAAACCTAGAGAGAGGGGAGAGCATTTTTTATCTCTCTTTTAGAGATAAGTGAAAAATGAAAAATAAAAGGAAATGACCATTATGACCGACCATTTGGGGTTTATATACCCCTTCCCAAATGACGCTATTTTGGGAAAGAGTATATGTGTAATTTCATAAGGGGCAAACCCTTTCCGCAACACCCTTGGTTTTGTAACTTTGCATTTTAGTCATTGAAATCAAATTCTGAATCTTTTAATTTGATTTTCGAAGTTTGGTTTATTATATTTTAGTCCCTAAACATAGTTATATATATTTTAGTTAAAATAACCGAATTAGCCATTATAATTTTGTTAAATAATGTTTTAGTCCTCGACAACATATTTTAATTTATTTTAATTTAATATTCGAATTTGATATAAGTTTATTTTAGTCCCTAAATTAAATAAATGTAAAATTGCATGTTTAGTCTCTGTAATTTTAAATAAATAATTATGAATTAGGGTATCTAATTTTAATATGTTATAATTTAGTCACTAATTTTAATATTTTAATTTATTTTTAATTACAAATTTTATTGTTTTTAAATATATAAGTTTTAATTTTATTTATTCATTGTTTAGTTATATTTTAATTTTATATGTTTATTTTTAATTAATTATTATTACTATTATTATTATTATTTAGTCATATAAATATATATATAATAAATAATATTTTTTTTTGTTTTCTATTAAAATCCTATTTATAAATTTAATTTTATAAATTACTTTTAAATTATTTTAATCATGTTTGAATATTTATTTTTCAATATTAAGAAATGGCAGTCTTAAAGCAACTGGATATTCATTTTCTGATATTTTTAAATAAATAAATATTTTACTTTTATAAATTATATATATTTTAATTGTTTTTGATAAATGTTTTATTAATATTTATTTATTTTTTAATATTAAGAAAAGAACTGTCTTAAAACACCTAGAAATCATTTTCTGATATTTCTAAATAAATAAATATCTTATTTATATATATTAATAGGTTTTCTTAAAATTATAGTAATAGATTTCCTTAAAATTATAGTAATAGATTTGAAATAAATAAGATTATAAATTAAATATATCTTTGAATTTCGAAATTTCTAATAATAGAGACAATTTATAATTAACGAGTACCAATTTTGGTCGTTGTAGGGATGTTAATCCTTCCCTAAACGTAATCGACCACGAATCCCTTCTTTACTAAAAATATTTTTGGTTATACGCATATCAGTTTATCTTTTAGATTATGTTTTCTTAAAAACTATTTTAAAAGATTATTTTTTTAGGTATTTGACCTACCTAACCCAAAAAGATTAATGGTGACTCCTAAACATTTTTTAAAATCAAAATCATTTACTTATTCATTTTATTTTTCTCGCCAAGTAAAATTTTGTGTCCGGACGAAAACCGGTTACGCATAAAATATTAAGACATAGTTATTAATATTTTAAAACTCAAATAATTTTAAACTTAAATCAATTAAAGTAAATATAAACCATACCCATTTCAAACCCAAATAGTTTTAACTCAGAAGTTGTAGGTTACATTAATGAATAAAGAATTTTATGTGGTTATTGTTGTTGTTGTTTACGTTCGTTTACGTTCATTTATTGTGTTCGATTATGTTCATTTGTTATGTTTGTGTGGTTCGTTTATGTTTGTTTACATTCGTTCGTTTGTGTTCATTTATGTTCGTTTACATCTGTTGTTTATGTTCGTTCATTTGTGTTCGTTTATCATTTAAATGAACGATTATGAATGAACACGAACAAGCTACACTCCTTAACGAACGAACAAAGACAAGAAATTTTATGCTCGTGTTCGTTCATTTGTTCGATTAAAGTTAAACGAATAAACATGAACATACCCCGTTCGTGTTTGTTTTGGTTCATTTAAAGACCTACATACAATCTCAGTCCAAGTCAGAGGAGTGCTAGATGAACATATGCAACTCTAGTCCAGTCCAGAGAATTGCGAGATGAACCAATGTTATTCGAACAACGCATCACAGGCGTAGGACGAGACATGTAACCCCAATCCAACAAGTCCTCATAGAAAGCTCCCTAGATAATATAATTATTATTACGAGTATGTTATAAAAGTCTGTAAATAAAATGATAGTATGATTATGAACGCTTTATTGAAGGTTGAGATTAGTTCACTCAAAAAACTTCTCTATCTGAATCCAAATGAGGTCCAATTGTCATTGCTCTTCAGCTTTCAGGTTACTTCACTTATGCCTTAACAATTTGAAGCTTTTTTTTGGTTAATTTATGCTCAGTTACATGATTGATAATCGTGTCTGTAACTGTAGTGGATGAATCTGGGTATTTATTTCATTGTACAGCTATGTTCTTGTTAATATCCCAGGTGGTTTTGTTTTGTGTTTCATAAGTCATATTTTTTTGTTTCAACAGGCCAACAGCAGTGCCCACCTTGTGTTTGATGGAAATTCTCCTGCATTTTTCAAGTAGGGATATCCCATATTAAATAACACTACTTGTCAGGTTTGTTTTTCACTGTGTTGAAAATGAGTGGACATATGACATATCTATATATATAGATGGATGTATATCAATAAAATTTACCATGGTCGAAAAAGATAATGAAAAAAAGAAGGGATTTTAGTAGGGTAATGTGAAATCTTTATGGACCCTTCATCCCCTGAATACTCGCGGATCTTCGTTGGACAAAGAGGGTACAGTCTAACTTGTGGGGGGCCAAAGAGCTAGGAATCGTTTGTATGCTTGGTCCTCTATGATTCTGTTTTAGATGGCCTACAAGTATTGATGATATAACGAGAAAGGGAAACCGAATTTACTGATGAGAAAAGCAGCAGGAGGTACAAACCGATCAGCCATTCCGGATGTTGATGTTCGAAGTCAAAAAACTGAATGTGTGATTATAAAAGGTTCAAGAAAAATATGATCATATTGTATATGGTCTAAGATGCATAGCTATTCATGTTTTAGCTGAAGCCTTTCACTTGTAGAGAAAATTATCTTTTCTTCTTTCCCCCTTGAACTGTAATCGATCCGTGATGCAGTTTACAAAGATTCACTACCAGTACCGATTCGTTTGTCGAGTCATTTCGAAATTATCACCTGAAGTAGATTTGAAGGATCTAGGCACATGGTCCACATGTTTACACAAGAAATGAAAGGAGAGAGGAAGATTTGTCACAATCATTGCCTTTCCCGTCTCTATCCACTGCATTGATTTGATCTGCTTGCGCCAAAATAACTTTTAGCATTGTGAGACAGGCAGGGCCATATAAGCACCATTCACCTCACCTTTATTTGCTAGGATCCCCTTAGGGAGTTCAACATCGTTCTTGTTCTCAACTTGTCCTAAATTGCGATTTTGTGCAATGAGATTGTCTTTTGTAAGAAGTCAACGTGCTTATTTTCGGTATACGGAATGCGTATCTTTGAAAAAAGCTGTATAGCATGACCAATGTGAAAACATTTACCACTATGCATCATAATATTCCTAAGAATATCCAACATGTTTATGTACTTATCTGACTGTTCAAAGATCTTAATTACCTGCTGTGTTGTCTTGGTACTTCTTGACAGGCATCTAGGGCAAAGGGAAGAAGCTGTTGCAAATATAGAGTTTGGAATCTGATCCTTTCGAATACCACACATGCATTCAGGTCATCTGTTACATTCCTTTTCGGTTTGCATGGACGGTCATATCATTGATGATTATGATAATTATGCAGAAAGTTAATAATTTCTTGAGATATTAATATCACTGATCATGTTATGCATCATTTGTAAAATCAAATCCATAATGTACATTTCCATTTCTTTACAGTAGCTTGACTATCAGTACCCATACCCAGCTACTCCCTTTTTCTTTCCTTATAAACTGTTCAATGTTTTTTTCTTCTTTTTTCCTAATTATTTTGGAAGCCTAAGCTTGGCCATAGCTTAACAGAAGACTCCACTTGAATCCCCTCCTTATTTTGAAGCAAATAGCTCACTGCCTAGAGTAATTTTCGAAGTAGCTTCGCCCCTGACTGTGGTCAGTTCCATCTCTTTTTCATGGATCCTTTCGAGCTCCTCCATGATCATATTCATATTCATCCTCCGTTTTCCAGGAAAACACATGCATTTTAGTGTCAGCTTGATCACGTCCTTAATACCATCCATGGTAAAGCTTCCAGCAAGTCGACGATCCACCAATTCATTGGAACTCAGCCGTGATTGTACCTTCAATAGTTAAACACATGAATTAGCAGAAATATGATATATATATATATATCATATTTTAGGGATTCTCCTAGTAAACCAAGGGACTAGTCTGCTTACCAACTGAATTAAGCTGTCATTGGATCGTAGGTAATCGATGTGCACAGCCTCATCCCTTCCAGTTATGAGCTCCATAAGGAACACTCCGAAGCTGTATACATCGCTCATTTCGGTGAAGCTTCCCAGTGCTTCCACCCTGACATTGATCGATGCACAGGATAAAATAAGTATATAGGTGAAGGCTTCTCTTTCCACAACAGATACGCAAATTGCATCAGAAGAAATCGATTTACTCTGGATCTCGGAAAACATTGATGTTAGAACTGTGAGATGGACCTGCTTCTTCTATCTTTTCTAGTAACATTGTGATGCCTGCATCTGCAACCTTAGCGGTGAAGTTCTCGTCAACCAAGACGTTGGCCGTTTTGAAATTCTTATGTATCAAAGGAGGTATCAGGCTATGCAAATGGCATAAACCTTCATTGATAAAACACAATTTCCTCAGTTTGAAACTAGTATTAGTATCGTATTCCTTCATTCTTTTTCTTCAGATTTACCTCTAGCAGCCCCCAGAGCTATTGATAACCTCTGCTTGAACTCTAGTCTGTCGGAGCCTCTCGTCCAGTATCTGCCAAAACACGGATGAATGTAACATTTGCATTGATAATCACGAAAAACTATGTTGTTAATGAGTCATACCATATAGATGATTGCACATGCTTCCATTAGGTATACATTCATAAACCAGCATTTGAGATCCTCTTTCTTGACAGTAGCCTAGAAGAGTAACCAAATTTCGATGTCGGACCTCTGACAGATAGATTGCCTGCTTGACACTCTTAACATGTCATTTTCTATTTTAATCGGAGTTTGGAGCTATTAGAGATAAATAGAAGAAGCATTGACAGTTAAAACCATCTTCATGAAGTGTCTGCAAGTAACATATTCATAAATATCAACCAACTTGTATAATTACCTGGGAAATGGCTTTTTGGATCAACTTGTTGACATAAAGAACCATTTGAAAAGGTTAAAATAATTTCATAGGGGATGAGTGATTTCCGTGCTGTAATGTACTTGACACAGATATCTATTAGATACAAGATATGTAAATTAGAAGTACTGGTTTTACCCCTGCATTGAACTCCTCTCTTGGAGCACCTTGATGCCTTTTTATAACCACAACATTGTCACGAATCCAACCTTTATAAACCGGACCGAAGCTTCCAAATCCGATGAGGTTACTATCGGCAAATTGCCTGGTAGCTTGTTCCAACTCTTCCAGTCTGAACTGCCTTGCTCCTTGAGGTCCAGCTGATGAACTGGGTCCAGCTCCTTTATTCCACTCCACTGCAATGTTGGAGCCGTAGTTAGTGAAAATATCAATTCAAAAACTGTAGCATGAACCACAGTGATTACTGCAAGTTTGTTGCAGTGAAACCTTACTTAATGCAGAAGGATCCGACGAGCCTGTCTCCGAATTTCTTTTAGAGTTCTTGAATGATTTGCAAAACCAAATGAGTCCTATGATTACAGCCACTAACACAAGCGCCCCTGCAGTTCCACCGATTATTATCACATTCATTGACATTTTCCTTACTTACCATTGAATCTGTGATAGAGAAAACAATAGAGCAATCAGTCGAATTGTCGAATTAGAGACAGTGAAAAACAATAGAATTATGAAATTGAACACTAACTTTGAGATTTAGGAACTCAACATTCTTTACCTGTTGCAGGAACCGGAGATCAAGTGGTCCTTATGACTGAATTTCCTTTATTGACTTCGACAATTGAGCAACGCTGATAGTACTTTCAGTGCCGACAAGTATTCAGAAAGCAAAATTGGCTGGTATTTGATGTTTGGTAAGGTTCAATGCTGCTGAAATATGAATGACAGATCATAAGAAAACTCATTTGCTTTCAAAGTACCCACATTTGAGTTCAATATCAAGCATCTCATCAAAGTGACAATGAAAAAGCCATATCACAGAAGATCATCCTGTCCTTAAAAACCCTTTTTTAAAAGAAAAAAATCTGTTTGATCCTGAAAAACAAACAGAAAAACTCGAACCAGAAGTTACTGGTGATGGACTTATTGTTGGTATATATTTGTCAATGATTCTCACAACACTCAGAATCTGTAACTCAAAACATAAAGCTGAAACAAAAAGATTTAATCTATGGCATGAACTTGCTGTCAACCAAAAGTGATGGTGGATATCAATGGACCCCAGAAGTAAAAATGAAATGCATATATGGGAACTGTTAATATGCAAACTGTAAATGTTTTTTTACATTACCTGTGAGTAGATGTTTACAGGCAAGAAAGCGACTTTTTTGGACAGGTGCTGGAAGACATAATTATTGAACTTGAAGAGCGGATCAAAAGAACAAAAAAAAAGGTTAGTTATCATCACTTATAACAGTGTATCAAATACAAGTCTGTTGCCCCCTTTTTGTCTATCTGATCTGGAAAGGAACTGAAGGGGAATACCTATTTTAGTAGAGAGAGATTGAAGAGTCTTCCATTGATGGGGTCATGACAGCTGCACCAAACATGACACTGCTTGCTCCTAGACTAAAAGTATAACTGGATCCTAAGTTTCCATGACAGGATATTCTCAATTGATTTCTCCCCTTAAAATACTGAAATACATATATGTGTATATACACACACACACACACAGGTACACTAATGAATGTTAACAGCTCTGCTAAAACAAGTTATTTAATTATCTTCTTTTAAATATATTGCCTGTTTTTGCATGAATTTATTTTCTTGTGCACATTGTTGAGCTGTGATCAGTGGTGGGGATGGATTTTGAGCTGTATATGCATATACAGTTCTCTCTCATATTTATTTATTTTGTTATTTTTCATGTATTTGTTGTGTTTTGTATTGGGTTTGAAGGCCTATGGGGATTGGTTGAGTGAAATTGGCTGTTTTCTGCAGGTTTTTAGTATGCTGAGTACAAATAGGCCAATGTCAGATAATAGACAGTGGACACAGTTTTTTTGTTAGCCATTGTTACAGATTTCTCATTACAAAGGTGTTGTTTCAATTTTTTTTGTCTCAGACATTGGCATTTAGCAAGTTTTGTAGTGCATTGCCTTTATGCAATGGTTCTTACTGTATGTGAATCGGAGTCGAGTGTGAACGTGTTATCCGAACCCAATATGGTAAAGTTCGTTTAGCTTTTTCTCGAGTTATTTTCATACCATATACGAGAGGCGTTACAAAAACGAAAAACCCGAATGACATGGACCACATGATTTTGAATCGTTATCGGGTTTTCCGGTTGAACATCCGGTCCAATTTAACGGAGTGAGGGATTATCATTACATGTATGGCATGGACTGCCAATAAGCTGTGCTGCAGGGGACCATTTTAGGTATGGTTCTTTAATATATAATTATAAGATGAATCGAGTAATTCCAGGTAAGACATAATTCTACTTCTTGTGGTCCTTAAAAGTGTCTCGGTAAACTGTTTTAATGCTCAACTGTTTTTGAAGTGCTTTGATTAACTTTAATTCCTTCTATAAAGAAATAAACCTCATTCGAAAATCTCAAAATAATACAACGTTAAGATTCAAACCCTAAACTTATTGCATTCCATCGTTAAAAAGCAGGTGAGATAAGTTCAGTTCCAATGAAGTTTGTTGGAAACTAATTTCCCTCGAGTTTACTTATAATTTTATTTAGTACTGATTGCATTTGTTAAAATGAAGTCTAAAATTATGTTTTAAGAGTAGTAGTATACATATTGATATTCGAATTTTAACATTATTAAATATTATATTGAATTCAAAATTTAGACTTTGAATTACTTTCATCTCTGCCTTGATTTTGTTTACAGAGTGTTGAGCAGCAAGAAAGGGAAAAAAAAAAGGAAACACAAATTAAGGACAAATGTAAATGTAATAATGTCAGATAAAAGGTGGTTAATTTGTAAGCTTAAACATAAATCATTACGAACAAAATACAAATGATGCTGATACTAAAAAGCTTTACGTCTTGTCTCTACAGAATTTCCTTTTCATCTTTACTAAAGGGATAGCCGAGGGGATATAAGAAAAGATTCCACTTATTTATTTATTTTACTTTTCATTTTTACTTTCTAAATTTGGGGTCTTTACTGAGATGTCTTTTTTAAGCATGAATTGAAATTGGGTAAACTATTCTAAATATCACTGAAAATATAAATTGATACGGTTGAGGTACTGAAGTTGAGTTTGATTCATCCAAATATGATTTGTAAATAATAAATATTTAGTGATATACTGACTCATTTTCCTCTCAAGAGTAGTTGATATAGCTCACATGTCATATGATTTGAGTAATCGTTTTTTTATGTATGATTTATGGGTGATTGAGGTCAGGGGACATCTTGGAGAGAGATAGTGATAATTCATTCATGTGATATGTTTGGTGTGCTTGGGAGTGTTAGCATCATGCTAAAATTTGATAGGAACATGTTTAACTCTTTAAGTCAATTAAGAGACAATACAAGGAGATCCAAATATTCAATGAAGAAATTTAGATCAATTTCATTTGTAGAGTATAAATATATCACTAAGTTTTATAAAATTCAACGTTAAAATAATTTCATTTGTAGGTTAGTAGATTAAATTTGTTTGAGAAGCACCGTCATAACATAACTTCCAACACCTTCTCTTTAAAGTACACTACTTATTTATCTTAAATGGTTTATGCATCGTATTACCCTTATTATATTTTTATATGTAACTCTATTGGTATTTTTGAATTTTTTGATCTTATATTAAATTGTCACGGAGGTCTAATTTTGTATAATATTTTTATAACCATTAGGAATGCCACTATTTTGTTATATCATAATTATAATTTGATTAAATATCGTAAAAGAGAATAAATTTTAAATTTGATGATCATCTTGATAGTCAATGTGACATCTTAGGTCCGTTATATAAATGATCGAATTTGAGATGTTAAATTATCGATAAACAAAGAAATGATGATATGATCAATGAGCGTTTTGGAAGGCTAAAAACATGTTAGTATATAGTAAGCATGTGAATTTTTTTGACAGAATCAATAATAATTCAGTACTATGTAATTAGCAATAATAAAAGAATATACAATGTGGTAGTAATATTATGAGGCAATACAATATCATAATAATAATTGGGGTGAATAAAATTTGACTCGACTTAAAAAATTAACTTTTTTTGGGAAAAACTCGACTTGAATTGACTTTGAGTTATAATTTCATAAACTCGTCTCAAATTAACTTCAAGTGTTAATTTCATAAACTCGACTCAATAAAATTTCAAGTTCATATTGAGTTATAAAATACAACTCGAACAACTTGAATAGTAACTCGAAAAACTCAAAATTTTCAATAATTAGTGGATTGATTTTTAAGTTTGTGTCTAATCTCTCGACTCTATATGATATGTATATATCACACATGAAAAAAAATATGAAGAAGTACATAAATATATATATATATATATATGGTTATAAAAATTTATGAATTTAAATTAAAATCAAATGGTATCATAATATTATAAATATTTATAATTAAATTTAAATAGAAACTCAAAAACTTGACTCGAATATTACAAACTCGACTCCACTCGAAAAAATTTAAAATCAAGTTTGAGTTATAAAATAGGATTCATCAACTCGAATAATTCGACTTAACTCGACTCAATCGAACTCTCACTCCTAATAATAATAGCAAGAATATGATGATAAAACACTTAACTTTCTAAAAGAAAAAAATATAATCAGGCGGAGTTCACAACTAGAAGAAGAATTTTGTTAGGTTTGTATGAACAATTTCTTTAAGACAAATTCAACATTTCTTTGATGCTTTAGTAACATTGAATGTTTCTCCTAATACAATAATAAATGGTCATAACAGTAACACAACATCACTGATCAATCAAACAAACATGTCTTTTTCTATTAAAAAAGAAACAAATTTATATATATATATATATATGATATTTTTAATATGATTGATGTGTTCTGGAAGAGGGTAAATGAATTTATAGAGAAGAGGGTAAATGAATTTATTCTTGTTGAATTTATTATGACACCATTATGTTTATCGAGCTAGCAGAAAAATATCTTGTCAATGTTAAAAGAATTTTAAGGTGTTTTGAGGCTTGTTGGGATTTAAGTATTAATTTTGAAAAATCCGTATTATTGGAGTTGGGATCGAGAAGAAAGAAATTGAAGAATTGACAAGTTTTAATGGTTGTGTGATAGGCGAACTTCCCTTCTCTTATCTGAAAATTCCGTTAGACGTTGACCCGAGAAGAAAGCAACGGGGGATCCGGTTTCGGAGAGGCTTTAAGCAAAACTGGCAGGTTGGAAGGGAAGCTCCTTGTCCTTTGTTGGTAGAGTTGTGTAACACCCACAGATCGATGAGGTGATACGATCCGATTCGAGGGGCCACCGGAGCGACCCACCGTAAAAATTCAAAAATTTAAAATTTCTATTAAAACATTTAAAATCA